TGTTTTTAACAATTTAAATATTTATTTATTTATTTATTTATATATTTATATATATTTATATAACATCGACTCGGCAAATAAAACGACCGGTGCATTTTTTTAAAAAAAATTATTTTCTAAATGCTTTTGCTGTAAATAACAAAAAAAAAAATGGAATGCGAAACTTGTACTAAGTGAAATAAATTTTTTTTGCACCAAAATGACAAAAAATCGTTTTGTAAAATGCTTTTCTGGTGCTGACACTAAAACTAATTATATTAATAATAATAATAATAATAATAATATTCGAGCATTTTTCCTTAAGGGAATCGTCAGGTAGAAACCTGTAATAAATGCTTGAAAAATTCCGTAACCATTACATAAAACTTATCGCTTTTAATAGTGAATATAACAATAATAATAATAATAATAATAATAATAATAATAATAATAATAATTGAAATTTTAAATATAAATAAAATATTTTTCTTACAGAAAATAATGTAAAAAAAAAGAATTATAAATTATTTTAAAAAGTTTCGCTTTTTTCCCATTGCAAAAAAAAAAAAATTTATAAATTTTTGTTTCTTTCAATTTAAAAACTCATAAAATCATTTAAAGAAAACAAAAACAAAAAAAAAATTATTTTATTAATTAATTCTTTTTTTTAAAATATTGGAAGCCCGTTTGCAGAAAAAATCCTACAATTGTATAAATAATAATTATTAATTAAAATTAAAATTAATAATTTTTTTTTTTTTTGATACGTCATATTAATGTTTATTTATTTAATTAATAAAAAAAAAAAACAAAACAAAAGCATTTAAGCACATCAATGAATGAACAATTTTCCTTTTTTTTTTTTTAACTTTAATTATTTAATTTTACGCATTAAAATTAGGCCTATTTAGCTTTTTCTAAAAAAAAAAAAATGCCACAAGTGAAATTTTAATTTTCTATTGATTAATTATAATTAAATTATCAATTTAAATTTTTTGTGTGTTGAAACCTAAAATCAATTTTAATCACGTTCTAATAATAAGTGCCATTCTAGTGCCATTCGTAAGTAATTAATAATAAATATCGAATAAAATTACTTTTTTCCTTTTTTTCCTTTCCCCCCACTCCACCCCACCCCACCCCCACCTCCCAATCTATTGATAATTTGTTAAATTTGAAATTTAATCGTTTTAAATTCATCAATTAAACAAATTTTTTTTTTTAATTGGGAAAAAAAAAGAAAATTAATTTCAAAACAAATTAATACGTTATCACTTAAACCCTGTGATTGATAATAATTTCTTTCAATTATTATTATTATTATTATTATTATTATGAGTAGAAATTTGAAAAAGAAAAAAAAATTTTTTTAAAAATAATCATCCAAACACCACGTGCAATTTAAATTTAAATACCATTTACCATTTACAATGTGTGACGAATCAAAAAAAAAAAAAAAAAACATTAAAAATAATTAATAATAATAATAATAAACATTAAATTAAATTCAAATTTGTTTTTAAATTTAACAATTTATCAATTATCAAAATTGATTTAAATTTCTTTTCACAAATCTATATATATATATATAGATTAAATATTTCCCAACAATACATTTTCAATCTAATAATCCTAATCTTAATCTTGTTTAATCTTACATAACAATCTTTCATAACAAAAACAAATGACAATTCATTTCATTCACAATTTTATTTAATTACAATTGTTTAATGATTTAAGAAGTGCTTAATATATACTAATAAGCTAAGGCTTTTCTAATATCATTAAGAGAATTTTCTAAAGTCTACGAATAAATATATATATAAGACATTGAAAATCGATATTCGTAAACGTTTAATTTTTAATTTTGATTAAATGATTTTCATATGATTGAAATACATGATTAATTATGATTTTAATGATTTAGTCAACGTTAATTCATTTTATTATTATTATTATTATTATTATTATTATTATTATATTTTGTTTCTTTATCAGATAATTGACTTTCTACGAGATGATTCCTCGTTAATTAATACATGAGTAATTAAAAATTTATGCTTTAAAGTCGATCTTAATTTATAGCAAATTTCGAAATTTCTTTTTCTTTTTTTGATGTCTTACACAATTTTATATAATCAAATTATAGCAAAATTTTTACATTAATTGTTGGCAATTGTTATAATATAATTATTACAATAAATTATTTTTTTTTTTAATTTATGTGTGATTGCATTTTTTTTTTTTTTTTTTTTTTGATGTTTACTTAACAAAAAATAAAATAAAAATAAAAACTATGGGAAAATTAATTAAAAGTAAATAATACAAAAAAAAAATTAATAAAAATACATAAAAATGCAATAATAATAATAATAAAATATCTATCGATGGGAATCAGTACAATCAATTTTAAAACATTTTTAATAAAATTTTACTCATTTTTTTTCTTCATTATCGAAATTTTTTAATATTTTTTTTTTAATTAAATTACCCCACAGACTCTGCGTTGCAAAACCGTGGTTATCGTATGATTGACTGACGAAGAATTTTTTTGTCTAAAAACGAATTGAAACATTTACACATCTCATATACCAAAATTAAATTTTATTAAAAAAAAATTAATTTTGTAAAAGCATTTAAATATTATTTGCAATTAGTATTCCTTTTATTTAGGCAAAAATGATTATTAGTAAATATTTTAAAAAATTAATAAAATATAAAAACAAAAAAAATATAAATGATATGAATGAAAATGCAATTATTATTAACAACTCTTTTTTTTCCGGTTAACAGAAAAAAAATAAAAATAAAAAAACAAAACTTTTTCAATGATTAACACAACATGTAAAATATACAAAAATCGAACAAAATTTAGAGAGAGTGAGACTTATAAAGAGAGAGTGAGAGAGAGAGAGAGAGCGATTATTCGAAAATTTATTCCAAACATTATTTTCTCAAATTTTCCTATAGAAAATAACCAAATAGGGATTTAATATTTTTTTTTATTTAAATAAATAATATTCAAGGGTTGGACTTTCTATTCAAATAAAATCATACGAAAACCTGTAAGACTATTGCTAAAAATTTGAGCTTGAGTTATGAGCCGGTATATCTACTATTTAAGAAAGTTCATTTTTGTCACTACTTTTCTCACATCTCAACACCTAACACGTGAAATTTTCTAATCAAAAAATGTTTTTTTTTTTTTATTTAAATCGGCTGGAAAAAGCATGAGTGAGTTCGTTGACGGCTGCTTGAGTAGCTGCTTGAGCGACAGCGCCCTGGACTCGTTGTTGTACCTGCTGCAAGTGTTGCTGAACTCCGCGACTTCTGTTTTTATGACAAACAAAGCCAACATTAACAATTTTTTGCCAATAACAACCGATCACCTTCTTATTGATTTTAGTAGTTTCGTGTGTCATATTAAGATTTATACATTTTTTTTTTGCATTTAATTTTTAAATTACACACCAAATTAATTCCGCAAGAAGGATGCCAAACAATTCAAAAAAAAAAAAAAATTTTTAGCAACAATTTGTAGAATAAAAATAACCCGATAAAAAAATACAAAAAAAAAAAAAAAAAAAAGTTTGACACCCTCTTTTACAAACAAACAAACAAACAAATAATAATTATAAATAATAATTCGTAATTAAATTTTTTAAAAAAACCAAAGTTTTTTTGCAAGTCAGCCAAGTAAAGAATAAGTTATAGAATAAAAAAGTTTTAAGTTTGTGAAAAAATAACAACGTTTACTTTTAAAAGAAAATAAAAAATTGTACATAATAAATTTTTTTTTATTTAAATGGTTTTTTACACTCTAAAACCTGTCATCATCAACTTTACTCTGCATACACACACACACACAATAATAAATTTTTAGGACCCTTTTATAAATAATTACAAAATAAGCAGAACAGGTTTGGCAGAAACATAAATTTAACGTGTGTACCTAATTTGTAACAGCAAACAAAATGTCGATCAATTATAGAAATTATACCGAAATTAAAATTTTTTCTTTTTCTTTTTTCTTTTTTTTTCCCAAACAAACATTTTCGGGAAAAAAAAAAAACAATGATAAGAAATGATTTAAACACCTTCATTATTAATTGAAAACAAATGATGAAATTTTTAAAATTAATAAAAACCATAATTATATATATTTTGCATTGTTTAATTATATATATATATATATAATTATCATTCATAGAAAATAGACAAAGTGGAAAATTTGTAATCAATATATGTGCTGCTTACACACCCCCATAAAATATACAAATATTTTAACTCTTGCTTTTTTTTAAATTTAAAAATAATAATAATAATAATAATAATAATAATACTACGGTACACATTGTAAACATTTGGATACAATTCCAAAGTTTTTTTTTTTTTCATAATGTAACTAAATTAAAAAAAACTATTTTTTCCCGCAATGATATTAGTAAAAAATAAACAATAATTTAATAACTAATTTACAAACTTAAAAAATAAATGAATAAAATTAATATATATATATAAATAAATATTTGTAAATTTTAAATTATTTTCCACCCTGTCAACGTTTTTTTGTTTTTGCTGGTAAAACAAAAATTATCGAAGACGAAAAAAAAAAAAAAAAAGAAAAAAATTTTTGTAAACCCAATAATAATTTAAAAAGTTAGTTTGAAAACATTAAGACCGACTTTAAAAAAAAAAAATGTTATTTAAAATTAAATGAAATTAGAAAGAATAAGAAGCACATTCATCAAATGTAAATGAAAATTTATACAAATAATGTGAAATGTGATTATTTTAAAAATAATATTATTATTATTATACTTCCAAATATTTAACGCCGGCTGAAAGCATTCAAAAGAAATTCCAAACCATAAGTTAAGTTAATATCGGACGGATTAAAACGTACAAAATACAAATAAGGCGCCTTCGCGAATGATTAGAATTAAAAAAAAAAATTATTTTGCAGCTTGTTTTTTTAAAAGACATTTAGAAGAAGGCGCGTTTAAGTAGTAAAAACCATTCCCAAAAGAAAAAAAAAAAAAAAAAACATGACAATACTTACGAAGGAATGAGTGGTGGCGGCAATCCTGCTCCTGCCGGTCTGCCAGGAGGCATCGGCGGTCCTCCGGGTCCGGGACGGTTAGGGATTGCCGGTGCAGGTCTTCCTGTTGAAGGCGGTTGAGGAGGAGGTCGATTTTGCGCAGCACCGATATTAACCTGTGGAGGAACTCCACGTCTGAAATTTTTATAAAATAAAATTTATTATATGGCTTATTATTAATAAATCGATTCAATTCGGTTTAAATAATGATTATTATTCACCTTGTGCTGTCCAATCCACTAGCAAGCCAATCATTTTTAACGGGAGGAGGAACAGGCGTTGTAACCGTTGCCATCGAGACATCCCCAATGATTTTAAGTGCTTCCTTGCAAGCGTGATACATACGAAGCATTTCTTCTCTTTTTAAAGCCTCTTCTGGACTTTCTTCCATCATTGTAGCCTAAATACATATTTATACACACATATATATAAGCACATATTTATTTCCAAAATTTTTTAAATATAAAGTAAAATAAAAAAATTTATTACTGAACCTGATCACCAGAAGCGTATAATTGAGCAAGGAGCTCTCCATTGATAAAATCTTTGGCATTATTAATGATTAACATCATTATAGTCTTTGGAACAAGATCTTTTGTAGTTTTGGTAACAATTTTCATATAAGAATCAACTAAGTTCCGAATAGTTTCAACTTGTCTTTCCAATTGAGGATCCATCGATGATGAGCCTTCATTGCTGCCCTGAAAATTGTAAATTATGAATTTTGAAAAATTAAAAATATATTAATTATATAAAATTCTAAGCAATTTTTAAAACTATGAAATTTTAGTTTTTTTTTTTTTTACTTAAATAACAAAAAAAAAAAAAAAAAAAACGTTTTAATAAATTATTAGCAATCAAAAATCAATGTAAAATATTTTTGATATACCTAATTCATTAGTAAAAATAAAAAAAAATATAACACGTATCAATAAATTTGAAAATAATTTAGTAACATAAATTCATTATAGAAATATTAACCTCACAATAAAAAAAAATTTTTCTAAATATTTTTTTTTTTTTTAAATTTAAAATTTAAACTAACTGCAAATGAAAAAAAAAAAAAAAAATTATTGTAATTAAAATTGTACGAAAAATGTAACAAGTGCATGAATTAAATGTAACTACCATGTTTAAAAAAATGAACAAAACGTATTAAAACAAAAATTATGTTTTGTGTGCTGTACTAATTTAATACAATTACGAAATTAAAAATAAATTAAACAAAAATAAATAAAAAAAAAAAAAAATTTGTTGACAGGTGAGCTCTACTTTACGAGAATAAAAATTAACAAAAAAAAAAAAAAAAAAAAAAAAAAAAAAAAAGGGCATTTAAAAATATTTTAAGTGAATTAAAAAAAAAAAAAAAAAAACTTAAATAAAAGTCAAATTTTGTAAAGGTTTATAGTTTTGGGAAAAAATAAAAATCTAATTTCAAAGGGGAAAGTCAGGTATTGCCTTTAACATTTTACTAATTAAAATTAATAAATATTTTTAGTAAAATTTAAACGAGTTTAAAACAAAGTTAACGCTACTAAAATAAAAAAAAAACTAATTTTCAATTGAATAAATTTTCAAAAACCTAATAATTTAATTAAAAAACCTAATTTTACAAAATTATTACTTAATTTTAATATGAATGAATGAAAAAAATTTTTTTTGAAAGTATACTATATGTATTTTTTTTTTTAGCAAATGTTAGGCAGAATAAAATATTTATTTCGAATGAAAGTATCATGAAATAATTTAAAATAATTAATTATTAGCTTTGATTTACCGGACTTGGACAGCTACCTCAGAGAAATTCCAATTTTTAAAGGAGGAGGAAAATACTTTACAGCTATCCCGTATTGCTGTTTTATATTTTTCATGTATCATCTGTCGGGGGAAATAAAAAAAAAAAAAAAAAAAAAGAAAAATTTTCAAGCAAACGATAAAAAAATAAAAAAGAAGCTAATTTATCTATAAAATAAAATAAATAAATATATAAAAAATAAAAAAAAAAAAGCCGTCTCTCTATAAAGTCTAAGTAAACAGCTTTGATAATATTTTTTTTTACGAACCTCATACCCTTCCTAGCAGGATGTTTAACAATAAAAATTTTTTAAAAATTAAAAAATTGCAAACAAATAAGCACGAAATATTAATGCTATTAGTTAATATTAACTAACAAACTGTTAAGAACAAATTGTAAGTAATTTATAAAAAGCAAAAAAAAAGCAAAAAGAAAAAAAAAAAAAACAAATTAACGACGGTGAAACAAATGCACCAACTTCAATCAAGTTTTCTTCTTCCGCTTTATTACTACATACCCGAGACCCAACCTGCGACAAATTATAAAGTAGTTAAAAGATGATAATAGTAAGAATATGTAATTGGGGAATAGGCTGAGGAAAAACGTAGACAAAATTGCACTCATGGTAATCAAATCTTGATCGTAAACGTAATGATAGTAATTTAACCCCTGATTAACCTAAATAAATAATTTTTAACCTCCTACTTTGATTAAACAATTATTAAAAGGGTAACCTACTTCTTGTTAGCATTTAGTTAATCATTTTGAATTATTAAAGAATACGAAGAAAGAACAAGACGACACTGTTTTTTATTAAATTTTTAAAAGTCGATGATTGTATATTTTTCTCTAAAATTTACTCTAAAAACAAAAAAAAAAAAAAACTTTACCTCCTCTCCGTTGGTAGGCTCCGTTGATTTTTCAGGATAAACACCTGCTCGAAGGAATGAAGCTTTCCACGAATCTACTTCCTCTTGAGTTTCGCAACTGAGTTCCAACTGTTTACAATCTTTATATACATTTCTTCCTTCTGGATTAAATAATGCAAAAGTGTGCCTTCGAGACATGAAGCCCTAAAAAAAAAAAAAATTTGATTTGTGCTCAAGTCCATAATAAATTAAAATAAAATTTTTAAAATCTAATTTATTTACTTGTTCAACATCTCGAAGCTTAAGACCATCTAAAGACAACATGTATTTTTTTTCTTTTTCTTCTTCGTCTTTGTACCAAGATATATTTTCCGATGTTAAAACAAACCAATAATCTTTCGAACCTCCTTTCATAATGCCCAAATTGTGAATGCACATGAAACCCTTTCGAATAACCTGGTTACCCAATTTTCTTCCACTTTTAACCGAATTTTCCGTTTGATTTTGGGCACTGCGAAAATTAAAATTTTTTTCATTATGCAACGTTAAATCTTTGTTACTTAAGCAACGTAAATTCTTACTATTATTTACTATTATTGTTAATAATTTTCTATTTTTATTAACTAAAAAATAAAAAAATGTCGAAATGAGTTATTCAATAAAAAAAAAAAAAAAAAAAAAACTTAATTATCATGGACTGCTGCTGATGTAAAACTGTTTTGATTTGCATTTTTTTTTAAAGAAAATCTTACTTGGCAAACCCAATGAAGTCTTCGTGGTTCGTATTCATGTATGCAAGCTCGCAATCGATAAGCAAAATAAGCTGTTCCTTGCACATTTGCTCTCGTTGTCGTATATGACTTGTTATAATGGCTTCGGTCTGCTCCCGAAGTCTGGGATACCTCGCCATCTAAATAAATAAAACTTTTACTTACTTTGCAAATCCAATAAAATCTTCGTGATTCGTATTCATGTAAGCTAATTCGCAGTCTATCAATAAAATGATTTGGTCCTTACATGTCTGTTCACGTTTTCTAATATGGGTTGTTATTATTCTGTCAGTTTCTTCCCGAAGCCTGGGATACCTATTCATCTAAGGTTGTATGAAAAAAAAAAAAAAAAAAAAAAAAATTCAAAAGAAAAAACAAAATAAAACAAAAATGAAATAAAATATTAAAAAATAAAACAAAAACCATAATTTAAAAATAAATAAAACAAAACATTATGAAACCCCAATTTAAAAAAAAAAAAACTAATGTTTGAAAAATAAATCAATATAATGAAAAAATAAATAAAAAAAAAAAAAATAAAAATAATTAATTTAAAAACTAAAAGTGTGTCTGTTTTTTGTCCAACTTATTCTCGTATTTAAGTAGGAGTAACGTAGTTAAGTAAACTATTTTTTCCGACTTTCAAAAGAAACGTTTAAAAATCTAAATATTATTACTAAAACAAAGTACGTAGGCAGTTAAATGTGTAAACATACGAAATACATTTGTACATAATAAAAAAAATTTTTTGCCGTTTATAAAAATAAAATTTTTTTTAAAAATTATTTGGAAAAATTAATTATTGAGTATTTAATCGTAAAATTATGAGAATATTTTAAAAAATGATACCTTATCAGTACAAACTCTAACAACATTGGATAATTCTTGAACGACTAGATCAACACATTTTAAACTAGGTTCTTTTAATCTTGAAATTTGCTTTTTTACAATTGCTTCAAACGCCATGTCCGGAGTAAATAATCCAACTCGAATACCTGTAAAACATTTAAATATAATATTAAAAAAAAAAAAATTAATAAGTAAAGAAGCTGCACAAAAAAATTAAACGTATACTAATTTTTTGTTTCAATGCGATTCCAATTTAAAAAACCATTCATGTACTGTCTCAATTTTACTGTCAAATTTTTTTTCTATTTAAAATTTAATAAAGAAAATTTTAAATTACCGTGAATATTTCTAATAGCAAATGCTATTTCTCTTCTTAATTCTTTTTCATCAAATTCCATTTTAACAATTTCAAAGGGGAATCTTTCGTGGAATAATCTATTGATTTTAGCACCACCCGACAATTCCATAGTATTTATCTGTGCAGAGCCAGAGCCCTCAATTGTTCTTTCAAAATCTGATTGAAGTTGTTGAATCATTTGCAACATAGCCTTTGTTTTGATTGCCGGATCATCAGGCCTAAAATACTTATACTGTTCTACATCTTTTTCTAGTGTTAAAAGCTGTTTTTGTAATTTGTCTCGCAAACCAGGAAGTGTATCTCTAATGTGGTTTGTGAGTTGTTGATTAAGAACCCTTTGAAGGTACGGAGTTCCCAAACGATCGGCTATGTGACGATATTGTGGATGACTCAAAAAAAATTTTCTCTCTGCTGCCAAAGCTGCACTAATGTCTTTTCGTCCATCTATATCCTTTTGACTTCTGTTAACCACTCCGATATAACCTCGTCTTAGTGGTAGCAGTTTATTTTCCAAAATATCTCTGGCGTCGGTTCCTTCGTCCATGAGATCCAATTTTGTAATTACACCAATCGTACGGATCCCCTTTAAATTGATTTAATTAACAACTGATTCTAGTTTACATTCGTTTTATCGTACATATTCATACAATACCTGAGGGTCTACTTCTTTAGCTAGTTTAAGAGCATCACTGTTGGCTAAATCAGTATTGGCTGGAGTGACAGCCAAAATAAGACAGTTTTCTTTTGTTATAAATTGAAAAATCATTCCTTTGATTTGACTTTCGATATCTGCCGGTTGATCACCCACAGGGACTTTTGTTAATCCCGGTAAATCGATTAAAGTCAAATTGAGAACTACAAAATTAAAAAAAAATAATTATCATTATCAGTTAAAAAAGATTTTTAATTAAAGTCAATCATTGAATTAAAAAACTTTTTTTTCAATATCTAAAGATCAATTGAGGTTATTTTACAAACTTATAATTCAAGTCTTTTTAAATTTCATTTTGAGAATTTGAGAAAAAAGTTAAAAATTAATTTTATTAAAATCATTAAATTTGTTGTTTGTTAAAAACAAGGGGCAATGGCAACCTTAACCAGTAGCCTAATAATGAGTCATAGATAAGAACTTATATATTATCAAATATAAAAAGGAAACAAGAAAAGCTATTTTACGAAATGGCCATTCACATTTTTACGTCTACTACAATCTTATACATTAATTTTTTAAAATATTAAAAAAAAAAAAAAAAAAGGCACACCTACGCTTTATCTTTACAAAACTTTTTTTTTTTTTTGAATTATTTAAGTTTCTTTTCAGTAATATTTTCAAATTTTGTTTAAAACTTGGGTCTCTTTTTAATCAAGGAAAATAAAAAATTAATGACTTTGCCTTTCTTTCTTACTTATAGTTGTAAATAAAAACTCAAAGATAAAATTTTGTAGTATTCAAAATTTTGAAAAAAAAAAAAAAAAAAAAAAAAAGTTTTTGATCATAATTCTCATATTTTAATATGTTTAATTTTTTTTTTCTATAACTTACCATTTGGTGAATAAACCCTTAAATTGATTGGAATATTTGAAATTCCCTTATTTGAACCTGTAACTCTGTCTGTTTCTGCTTCAATTTCCAACCTGACTTCATTAAAATCAACAAATTTTTTTCCTTTGCAATGTAGAAATTCTGCATATTCAACTGAAGCATTGACTAATTGAAGAATTAATGGTCTACGTGTGACGATACCGGAGCCTCGTGGTAAAAAATCTCTAAGAATAATATTTTTATATACAAATGAGAAAAACAATTTAAAAAAAAAACTAATAAGTTTTTTTCTTTCAAATATATTTTTTTAAATTAATTATAGTTCAATAATAGTAATAGATTTTTTATTTAAAAAAATTTGATCTATTGTATACATTGAAAAACCTAACTTTTTAAAAAAAAATAAAAACAATAAGCAATATGAAGCTTATTCCAAATGAAATTTTATGCTTTTTTGACAAATTAATAAATCAATAAAAAATAAAACAAAGAAATTTTTTTTTTTTTATTCAAAGATGTAACCACAGTTTTATGAAAGAAAATTTTTTAGATAATTGATTAAAAAGAATTTCAGATATTCCATTCGGTTTAATTTTTGCAGTAATGTTATAATAGCAATTTACTGCATCATACTTCATACTTGACCTAAGATCAACATTTTAAATTAATGTAAAATTTAAGTTAATAAATTCATTCCACCTAAGATTCTAATTTTAATTCTTAAAAAAAAAAATATCCTATCGACATTTAATATCAATTTAAAATGTATCTTTACATTTGCTTCTGGCAATTAAAATATGAGTCATTTAAAATGAAACTTTTCATTGAAACCCTTCCTCTGATTATGACATTACTTTAAAAATATGTAATCAATTAGCATAAATTTTGGTAGTTTTTAATTTATCATGTGGCATATTTTAAACATAATAATATTTTATTCATTTTTACTACTTAAAATGGAACCAAATTTAATATTTCGGCTTATTTTCTTACATAATATTGCAAAAGAGAGATGAAATTTTTTTATATAATTTTTTTTTATGAGTTAATTTTTGAAAAAATTAAAAAAAAATTTTTAATAAAATAAAAAAAAATATTTTAGAGTGTATTTCTTTTCAATTCTATGCATGAAATCGGGCATATTATGTCAACAGAAAAATTTGGCAGTTAGCCAAAAATATTTGACAGTCGATCGATAGAATTGCTAGCCTTACCTATAGACTTAATATCAATTATTTTCAAAAATTTATAAAACATGTAATACAAATCATATAAAAAGTTAAGGTTTTTTTAAAAACGTTTTTCTAGAGTATGAATTTTACCTTCCAACGAAGTTCTCCAAAACCGAACTTTTTCCAGCGCTTTGTCCACCCACCACAGCTATTTGTGGAAGATCCAGCTGCATGTGTACACCCAACTGTGTAAAAGCATCTTGTAATTTATTAACTATGGGAATAAGCTGCTCCATTCCCGTATTCCCCGCCATAACTACAATTTTTTTATTCTTAAAACACTGATTAATAAATTTTACTTCTTGCTACGGAGACGGAGAAAACTACCCAAGATGGCCGATAATTTTGACATACCAACTGCGCAGAAGCAAAAACGATCGAAGTTAAAAGCTCGTTTAAATATACTGATTATTCCGTTATTTCTAAATTCTTAACAATTTCTTAATATAATTTAGCTTCTCACTACTTTTTTAACTTTAAATGTTTTAATAAAAAAAAAAAAGAATCTTTCATTAAGCACAAAAAATTAAATTTTAGTTTTTAAATTATTATTTTTTTATAATTCTTGTAACACTCAATATCATTTTTTCGTTCCAAAAATTAAAGGTATACTTAGATTTTGAGAAATTATTTTTTTGAAACGTGTCTCTAGATAAACCTAAAATAGATAAACCTAAAAAATATTTTACCGCCATCGGCTGTCCCAGATTTTTTCTTTATAATTCAAATGATACGCAAATAAATTAGAAAGCGTTCAAAAAAAAATAAGCAGCTGATTAATTTTAATTTTTTGATAATCTAATTCAAAGATTTTATAAAAAATTTATTTCAAAAAATTTTTTGAACTTTCACAAGTTGGTTATCGTGAAACTATTATTTATAATACGTCATTTTAATATCAGTGGCAAAGCAAATTGAAGTAGATTTATGTTTATAAGTAACATATATTTGCATTTTTTTTGTGTGTGTTAATTATTAGAAAATGAGTTCCGATTATTTAAAAGAAATATTAGGAAGTGGAGGTATTTGCTTGTTGTTTTTAGCATATTTTGGTAGCTTGTCTCAATTTAAATCGAATTTAAACAAGTGATATTTAATAATATGCTTTCAGATGGTCCTTTACAGAACGTAAATGCTTCAATAGCGAGTTTAATTAATCGTAGAAATAGTTTAAAAAGCAATGTTAAAAATGTTGTTGAAGATCAATCAAGTCAATTTAGATCTGTTTTTAAAGATAACAAAATTTTAAAATCAAAAGCTGAGGAGTTACTTAAAGAAATGTCTCTAATCGAAGATGATCTTGATGAAAATTTAAAATTAGAATTGTCTAATTGTTCAGGAGATCTAAATATTTTATCGTGCTCTCTTAAGGAAATTAATCTATTTATTGGTATTTTAAAAGAATTACTTGAAATTCATACAATAGTTTCTGAAGCAAAAAATAAAATTGATAAAAAACAATATTTGCAATGTGCTGAAGTATTAGGAAAAGCTAAAGAAAGCATAAATTCAAATTCAAAAAGGTTTCAGCAGCTTGAAGTATTTAAAGTTTTGGAAAAACAAGTAACTGTATTAAATGAACAACTTGTTAATGAAATATTAAACATTTGGGAAACATGTATAAATATTAATGAAGATGATAATTTAAAAAAAAATAATAGCACAACTCAAATCACATTAACCATTAAAAAAAATACTTTGAATGAGTTGTTTGAAATATTAAAAGTTTCAAGTCATTTGAAATGTAATATATTTGAAAAAGAATTTAGTTATAATATTTTAAATAAATTCTTAAATAAAATTATTTTAAAAAAAACTTGTTTAGAAATAAGTGAAAATAATACCGATTTTATTTTACTTCTTAAAATTTTAAATGATGAAAAAAAATCAAATTGTTCTGAAGTCTTCAGTAATATTAAAATTGTTATAAATTTTTTAAAGACACATTTTACATTTGAAAATGAGAATGATCATCAAGCATTTTTAAAAACAATTAGTAATTACATAGCAGAAGATTTTGTAAAAAGTTTAATTGAAAATTTTTTAAGCGAAGCAATACCCAACCATACTAAAGATTTTGAAAAATTTAAGGGTATTTTACAAGATGCAGAAAATCTTGAAAAATATTTTCAAAGTGTTGGATTTTTTTCTGATGGCTTTTCTCCAATAACTAATTATACTCGAAATATTAATGAATTATTTACCGATAAATTTTGCCAATCATTTTTAAGTAAAGCTAGGGATATTATGAAAAAAGACCTTCATAATGTTGCTAATTCACAAAAAATTAACAGCAACATTAAAGTTTTACCATCCAGCTGTGTGAGTGTTTTGCAGAGTAGAATGAACATCCAAGAAGATGAATTTACTTTTATTGCATGTAAAATTAGGTTAGTATTTTTTTTGACGATTTTCAATTTTGATGTAAAAATGAAATAAAAATTATTTTAAGCAACATATACATTTAGTTTAGCTAAATATACATCATTTTTACAGTAAACATGCTAATGAACTTGTAGCCTTGGTAAATTCTTTAATGACAGAAATAGAAAAAAGTACAGATTTGAATATTATTCGTTTATATTCTACTATAAAGAATATTTTTGAAATGTATTGTGCAATAGTTCCTATTCATCACAAAAAATTCATGGAATCATTTCCGCAACAAGTAGGTGAGTCTAAAAATTTTTAATTTTAATATAATTAAAGCAATATATATTATAAAAAATTAATTTCTTTTTTTCATTTTAGCATTGTTTCATAATAATTGCTTATATTTTGCACATAATTTAATACACATTATAACAAAGCTTTTTAAAAAAATACCTGAAATTTTAGTAGTAGCTTTTCTAAATGAGGCTATCGTTTTAAGATCTGTTGCTGCTGAAAAATTAGAAATGGCAGTCACCTTTCAAAGAAATCAATTAATCTATATTTTACAAGACTCTGGTGAGTATGCCTAAAAAAAAAATTAATTATTTTCAAGTTATTAAAGAATAAACATTATTCATTGTATGCAATTTTTAGATTATGCTACCCTTAATGAAAATTTAGCATTAAATCCAACTTCAGAAAAAAGTATTCGTCAGTGCATAAGACAGCTACAAATACTTCAAAATGTTTGGCAAGATGTACTTCCATTGAATATTTATAATAGAGCCATTGGCTTCTTGGTTGATGCCTTAATTGAAAAACTAATCGGTTTAATACTACCGGTGGAGGATATATCAGCAAAAACTGCAGGCGATTTAGTTTCTGACTTTACTATTTTGTTAGAAAAAATTCCTAAATTGTTTTCAGTATGTAACTAAATAACTGTAATTTTTTTACAAAATTATTTTTAATTTAATAGAATTAATTTTTTAATTATAGGAAGAAAAAGAAATTTTTAGACATGTTAAAAAATGGCAAAAGTTTACAGAGTTTGTACTACTTGTAAAGGGATCTCTTAAAGATATAGATGACAGGTGGGCAAATGGTATGGGACCACTTGCAGCAGAATTTACAGCAGAGCAAGTAAAACATTTAATTCGTGCTTTGTTTCAAAATTCTGATAGGAGAGCTGCTTTACTAGCAAGAATCAGATAAGAAAAATTTAAATATTGATATACTTTACTAATATTTTAAAGATATTGTTACTAAATTAATTAATTAATGTTGAAAATAAATAAATAAAAATGCTGGGCAAAAAAATTTATTGTACAATTAAAACTATACAAAAATGTTTAAAGGTTTTATTTTACAATTTAATTAATTTTTTTTTTTAAATTGGTAATTATCAATTATTTATTTATTTTAAAAGCTAATTCACATAATAAAATAAATTTTTTATCAGTAAATATTCATTATATCTTTTAATGTGTATTTATATATACAAATAAAATCAACTGATTTCAAGTTATTATTTATTCATAATAACTTCGAATTATGATATCAATAATAAAAATTATCAAATTTAATTTATACTGACAAATTATCACAAAATTTTTCATAAATTTGTTTCCTTTTAAAATAAATTTCGACAAATTGGACATGTTGAATTTATACTAGTGCTGAACCATTTATACTAAAACATACAAAATTTCAATTATTAAAGAATTGATTTTTTTAAAAATAATAATAATATAATATAAGTAAACAAATTTTATTCCTTACCAAACAATTGGAGTGAAATTTTTTCTTGCACGTTTGACAGCAAAGCCTTGGGATTTCAAATGAAGAACCTTGAAGAATGGAAAAGCATATGTAACATTCTTCCACTCCCTCAAATTTTTTATCTAAATTACTTTTCCAAATGATTAAAGCGTCCCATATGGTTCCATTTTGATGTATTAAATATTTGCATATTTGAAAAAGTAAATTTCGCCATTTTGAAGTTCCCACAATCACATTACTCGACTCTATTTTGGCCGGTCCGAGTGGGTAATTCGAAGGAAGCGTTATTATTAAATCCATTTTTATTTCATCTATTGTGTATATGGCAACAACTTCTCTCGCGTTGGGATGTGTTTTAATCTTAAAATATAAAATAAATGATTAAAACTTTTATTTTCAACATGTGACAATTAACGATGGTCAGGCCACAAATCAACGTATCCCGTCCCCGGGAAGTTTTAAAATAATAATCAAACACATACCTCAATATTTTCCAATCCATCATTTCGGTCTTGCTGAAGACTTTTAAATTCATTTAAAATTAATATAGGCGAAACATAAAGCCTGGTCACGTTGTCAACTAGATTGGAAGTTTTATTTTCCATTTGTTTCCACCATTCCCTTACGTAATTGGGTAACTTTTGCAAAAATGATTTATAAACCAAACAAGCCAACTGTTCGATGAGTTTGCTTTCGATCGGTTTACGATGGAATTCTAAAGAAAAATTATCTTCGAAATACGCAACGTATTCTTTCTCGGCTTTGATTCCGTGCAAGACAGTTTGAGGCATTAATTTAAATATTGAATTGAGTAAAACGTCAATGAAACCAGCATCCTGCAACCAGTTTCCGTATAAAACACGCAATGAAGAATGTGCTTGCCCACACGTGTTCAAAATAAAACACCAAAGTAATAAATAAGAATGTGTGTATGTAAAAGAATCGGTAAAAGGTTCGACTATGCAATGATCGCCAACAAAAAAATCCGATAGTAAAATCTCGATGATTCCTTGATTTTCTGAAATTTCTTTTTTAAATTTTTTTATCGTCCAATTATCATTCGTTTCCTGTATATCCGACGTAGAACCTTCCTTTTCATTTTCAAATATTTTAGACATATTATTACCAAACATTTTTGTATCTAATTTAACTAATTCTGGAATCAAACTTTATATACAAAAAAAAAAAAATTTTGTTAATTAAAATTAAAATGAATTTTTTTTCCATTTAAAATCAAAAATGTTTACCTCAAGCACATGTTATAAGCTGTTATTTGTATAAAAACGTGGGAAGACATCATCAAATTAATGCATTCATATAGTAAATCGATGCTTTCATCATTTTTTTCACTTTTTTTCAATTCCAAATCCGATAAAACGCATTCGCTGACATTTTGCAAAATTGTTATGCAGTGAGGAGGAATATTTGTCTGATTCCAATCATTTACGGATTTTCTCCATGCAAAATAAATTTCATTATATATTTCAATTTGAGCTACTTGATTCCATGCCAAACACACTTCCGGAGATATTCTTTCTTCCACAGGTTTGCTACAATTATTCCTGAACATGTTTCTAACACTAAGGTATAAACGAGATATGCTTAAAAGCATCAACAAATCATTTTCCTAAAAATTTAACAATTTTTTTTTTTTTTTAAAATATAAAACCGATAATTACGACCGATTATAAACAAATCATAAAAAAAAAAACAAACCGAAATTTTAGATTTTTCCACAATTTTTTTTAAATAATTATGCATATAAATAAAAATGTCGTCCCAAATCGATTCGGAAATTTTATCGTGATAATTATTCTCGATGAAATAAGATATGGTTAAAATATATGCTCGATGAATTTGCAAATTGGTAATCTTAGAATTTTGAAAAGATTTGAAATAATTTTCAATGGAACATAAATCATCCTCGTCTTCTTTTTCATTTTTAACCAGTTTTAACGGTCGTTCATTAAAAATTTCACTATAAACCGGCTTTAGAATGTGCCATATTGTTTTTTTATCAAAGTATGTTTGATTATAATGAAAAATAACTTGTAATTCTGCTTCGTTAAAATTTCTCACCACCTTTCCAGCAATCGATTTTAAATTATTGATTAATTTTTTTAAATCTCGAAATTGTTTCGTCTGAAAGAAAAATTTGATGGTTGAAAATGAAGGCCAATAAAAGTTTCAATAATACATTAAAGTACATTACTTACAGAAATGTAAAATTTTTGAAAACGTTCAAAAAGTGCAAAGCTCATAAAAAATTTACAAAAATCCTCTTTAATATTTTGAATTCTATTTTTAATGGCGTATGATTCATTTAATAAAGTTTTTAAGTCTTCACATTTAGAAACGGAGGAATCTAAATTTTTCTCTTCCTTATCCATTTTGTCAACCTCTTTGTTGTTTTTTCTTATTTCAAAGTCGTCCATTTTTTCATTTTTCGTTAATATACAATCCTCATCTTTATTTTCTCTGTCAAAGAGCAAATCAAGAGTGTTTCCCACATATATATTCCATTTTAAAAATTTTTTAATGACTTCTACATCGAACGGTAAGTATTTTTCCCAATCGTTGGAAAATGGACAATTAAGAAAATCGGTA